AATTCTTATCCCAAACATTTGAAAAATAGTATAATCTTAAGAAAATGTTGTATTTTTCTTGATACAGCCACTTGAAAGATTTATTAACAAAAGCATGATATATTTGTTCATTTCCAGATTCTCTCATTAACCCAGAAGATCTATGAACTGAAAGGAAAAATGAAACGGCCGAACTTGAGAAGGGTGAAGAAGTCGGCAGATGCCATGCTGGGATCGCTCACAGACACCAGAGTCATGAAAGCCGACTTCAAAGCCAACCTCAAAACCGTTAAAAAGGAAGAAGAAAAGGTAACACTCTCAGATGTGCTGTGTCTGAAGAGACGGGTTATTTTAGAAATCAAGTGATTTCTTTAAAGGCCCGGTGGTGATGAAATGTTGGCATTTAAACCGCCCCGTCTGTCTGTCTGATGCGTGTTGCCACGGTCCGCCGCGGCTGTGCAACCATCTGAGTTGCTCTCATCTCTGTCTTTCTGTCTCACTGAAGCATTTTCTCTCCATCAGAAGGAAGAGGTCACAGACTGGAGGAAAAACGTGGAGGCCATGTCAGGCATGGAGGGCAGGAAGAAGCTTTTCAATGCCGGACAGTAGACAGCAGCGAGTGTTTCCAGGTTGCAAAGGATAAAGGGGCATTGTGATACAAAGCTTTTTTTTGTTGCTTGTTTGAATTTTAATCACCTTCTACATTTCATGGTAAATTATTCATTTATTTTGTCAACCAGCTATGGCTTCCATGCAACATTAAAGGAACAGTTCACCCAGAATATTTTGAAAATGTACTTACCCTCAGGCCATCCAAGGTTGATGAGTTTGTTTCTTCATCTGAACAGATTTGGAGAAATTTAACATTCCATCACTTGCTCACCAATGGATCCTCTGCAGTGAATGGGTGCCGTCAGAATGAGAGTCCAAACAGCTGATAAAAACATCACAATAATCCAGACGTCTCCAGTACAAGTGATGTAATGCTAAATTTCTCCAATTCTGTTCTGATGAAGAAACAAACTCATCTACATTTTTTGGGTGAACTCTTTCTATAAATAGCGATTTGCCATTCAAAAATTTGGGGATGGTACAATTCTTTAAATGTTTTTGAAATGACGTCTCTTATGCTCACTTAGACTGCATTTATTTGATCAAAAATGCAGTAAAACAGTCATATTGTGAAATGTTAAATTTTAAATTCCTGTTTTATATTTGAATATATTTTAAAATGATAAAGGGACATCTTGATCCAAAGCTCATGTTGTTTGTTTGTTTGAATTTGAATCACCTTGAACATTATTTTATGGTAAATTATTCCTTTATTTTGTCAGCCAGCTGTGGCTTCCACGTGATATTAAATTGTGATTTGCTGCGATTAAAATGTGTGAGCGCTGTGCTGTCCATGGAGAGGGATTAAATAATAGAACAACTTCATATTCATATCATATCAAGTGTGTAAATATTTGCTTCGTAGTCAGTGTTGATTGAAACCAATAAAGCTACTGTTTACCCTCGGGTGAAGAGCTTGATTATTTTATTGCCTGTTTGTAGTTTACAAAAAAACAGAAAATAGTTTAATTTTTAATAAAAGCTTATTGAGTGAATTAGGAAGTTTGAGTCCTTCATTAAAAGATCAAATATTTGATTAAACATGCTGTAATGTCAATGGCACAGGAACTGCATGTCGAATACCCAGTTTAAAGCAGTTTTAGGTGTTGACCTACAGATGGCGCTCTGCATTTATACTACATTGACTGAACTGGCATTAAATCAACACTAGGGGGAGTCACAAAGTCACACAGACTTCTCAGCAGGCCACAAATGGAGCCTTATATCAGTCGTAGCGTCACAAGAATACCATTGTATAAAAAGATATGCGTCAACTGTTTTTTATCTGAAATACAACATTTTGTGTGTGAACAGATGTAGTGGTGTTCAGAGAAGGAAGTACAGGGAGGTGAAGGGAAGGAATTTGGGTGGCACTGTATCCTCTATTACCAGACAGATGGCAAACTGGCACAGATATAACATCAGTCATCGAGACCTGAGTCAGCACGTCCACTTCAACACAGCAAAAAGCTTTAGGTCATAACAGACTCTTTAAATCAGCAGAGGAATGTAAATCTGTGAATTCAGCTGAACTAGATCAATGAATCAATAAGTGTGGATTCGAGCTTTGGGATAAATATTATTGTATATGTAGATATGACTAGTTAACAAAGTATTACTAAACATAAAACAAATTTAAACTATAAAATGTATAGTTATTATGTATGCAAATACATATGTTATGACCTCACATTAATTGACAGGCTACGTGGAATATTTCCACACAGAAGTTTTGATTTTGTATAAATTTTTCACTCAGAAACTGCTAGTAAATTTCATAAATAATTACAAAGAAATAAATAAAAAGGTTTGCACTTTCCCTTATACATTCATGTATATTTTAACCTAAAATATTTATTTATTTATTTACTAATTTGTTTATTTAAATGTACATAAATATGTTGTGTGGCAAGTACCCATATGCTGCAAGTTTTCTATTTGTCCGGGGAAAAAAAGCCATCTAAATGTTTTTCAAGTGGATCAAAGTTATTTTGAAACCTTTGTGCATCATCTTAAAGCATGCAGTATCTTTTTACTATCCTATTAATGCAGGTTTCTCATTTTTATGATTAGCAGATTTGGTTTAGATTGGATACAGATGCTGTCTGTTTGGCAATGTTAGACACACATTGTTCTTTCTCCCTGGAAAACGACTTCCAAAGGTTCATTGTATCCTGCCGCATTCTTTTTAATGCCAGGAAGGTTTAGGATCAATGTGAGAGAAGTTCAGAGGTCAATGAGAATTATCAGGTTGTTCTGTAACGTCCTCACTTCACTGAGGTGATAGCAGAGATGCTGCACTTCTTCTTCTTCTGTATATTAAAATCAACAGGTGATGCCTTGTACAGTTCATTATTTATAGCAGAAAATGTAAAAGTGTCTTACTTGGTAAGTTACTGCAGTTTAAATCCTCAGTATCCACAATCACGAGGCCATTGGAGATGAATAGTCATGTGAAATCACATCCTGAAAGATATAAAGCAGAGCAGATATTAGCACCCTGGGGTTCACCTACAATTCTCTGCGATGTTAAACTCTCGCTGCTTCAGATGTCCTGGTTAAATCAAGTTCATGTACTCCCATAGAGAGAGACAACCTTCAGATATTCCCTTTCTAAGAGCAAGTTAAGGCAAGCGGCTAATATTTTCAGGAACTCATATTAATGTCTGAGGTCAACTGACGTTAAAAACCAAAGTGCATTATAAAAGTAAACATCTGAGAGACTCAGGCAAATATAATGCAGGCAAAGACCAAAAATGTCGGGCAACTTCTCCTGTGTAACCAAATTACAGGCAAAGCGATCGACATTTGACTGCTCTCAGGTTCCAGTTCGTGGGGAAATACTAGGAGATATTTTGCTCGCAATTTGAGGTGAAGCACTTGAGCACTTCTGTTTCACCAAAGTCATATATGTAGAACAAATAAATCCTCGTTTTCCTTCAATGGTGTTTGCTTGATTTATTTGTTCAAGAACGCAATTTTCAGCCATTCTCTTTAATGTTGCCAAGACCCACATAAACACACCGACCTCAGGTCTAATACTCTGGTCTGATTCTCACACAATACGCTTAAACACACATTTTTGGCCAAAACATCCTTGAATTGTACGTACCTCAGTATAGAGGCTCGGCATTTTAATTTGGTTATCATATTTATTTATTTATTGAGGTTATTACTAAATGACCTCATCAAATAAGTAATAAAAATAGTGCTGTCAAACGATTAATCGCGATTAATCACATTCAAAATAAAAGTTTTTGTTTACAAAATATGTGTGTACTGTGTATATTTATTATGTATAAATACTGTACACACACATGCGCGTATATATTTAAGAAAAATGTTTTGTTTATAAATAAAATATTAATATTTATTAATAATTATATTTGAATACATACATATATATATATATATATATATATATATATGTAAATACAGTACACATATATTTTGTAAACAAAAACTTTTATTTTGGATGCAATTAATCGTGATTAATCGTTTGACAGCACTAAATAAAATGTAAATACAATTCTTATAATCAGACTACAGTTACTTTTGATCTTTTTATTGATTACATGATTATTTAATTATAATTTGGATTATTGAAGAATTAATATAGGCTACAGGATTATTCTATTCAACGTGATAAACGAGTTAGGTCAAAAGTAATCTATCAAAAAGTAGCCAGGTTATATTACCTAAAATGTGTAATGTAATATATTACGTTACTAACTAACATTTTCATCAGGTTAATTGAAACTGGCGTTACTTTCATGTCTCTCGTATCACGCCGCGCTCACTCTCGCAAATAGAGTCTCTTTTAACTATTACATTAAAATTACCTCAGATGACTTCAGTATTAACATATTATTGTAAATAACATCCTTGGAGTTTTCCTCTTGTAGCTAAAACCGATTGTTTTGTTCACTGTAATGGACTACTTTTCTTCGCGGAAGCGTTAAGGTTAGATACAGGTAAGTAATTTAAACTCAAATCAATATTCCAAGTAGGCCTATTTATTTATTTATTTAGTGAGTGTCAGTTTAATAAGCGGTGTAATATACAGTATAATATACCGGTCTTTATCGCAAAAAAAACCCTTCAGGGCGACGTGACCATTGAAGGTAGCTGTCAAATAGCTGTTTTTCAATTTCAGCAGCAGTCATATATATTTTTGGATAAAAGGGTCTGCTAAATGACTAAATAAATAAAAATAAATATAATAAAACGGGATGTGTTGAGTTTTAAAGTATGAAACTTATATATCCTATTTATGATTTAACTTTCTACATTTAATAATTGTTTAATTAGAACAATGCAATAGTGTTCGTTTATTCTTACGCCGAATGTTATTGAATCGTGCAGTGCTTTAGACGAGTCTGGATCTGCAACTGTACTCGTGAAGTACGCGAGAAGGCGGAGGTCGGATGGAGTGAATGGCTGCTAAAGGGAGGGGCTTCACACAAACTCGGGAGTCCTGTTACTGAACGCTGGAGATTTTGGAAATGTAAGGAACAGCTCAAGTCATTTTCTCTTTGCAGGTTTCTTCGCACATCTAAAGGACGCAGAGCTCGTTCGCCTCACCGCGCAGGTGAGTTTTACCGTCACTGCCAGGTGTTTGGATGCGAGTTTAATAACTTTACGCGCTTTTTACAAACTCTTCCTCCTTGCTTGATAAAACATTAACCATTTTGCGTCAGTCTCACTGAAGTCTTTGTTGAAAAGCGTGGCTTATATTGCATGCATTTTATAGTAGATGTTGAATATTATATATTAGTTTGCACTTTTAGAAAGTTCTAACTCTCTAAATCAGCTTTGGGATGCATACAAATATTTGTGCACTGATGCATGTTGATTGTTATTTAAGTGTTTGAGAGTTAAATATAATGTTTATTCAAGTCTCTTAATCCTATTTCAGATTTGCATACTTCTTTATCTTATTTACGAATTAGCCTGGATGTCTTTTACAAACCAATAACCCTAGAAAAAGTCCTGGGTTGATTGACAGCTGCCAAAACTGTCTAAAAAGTTTTGATACTCTGTTGACCTGATTGAATTGGTTTTAAGTGTGCTTTGCACATACTGAAACCTCTCATGGGTTTATATGCTGTATTAAAGGGGTCATATGATGCGATTTCATTTTTTCCTTTCTCTTTGGAGTGTTACAAGCTCTTGGTGCCTTTTATGGATCTTAAGCTTTTATTGCATCTTTTTGAGGGATTCTGTGTAAGTAACCTCTCTAGTGTCCTTCAGCATCCTGCAGTCTATATAAACAGGGCACCACTGTCCCATGCCTAGGTTAAGGGATGCTGTAACACATTAAGATTCTCATTGGTATCGTCCAAAATGGATTTGGCGTTTTCTCTGGCTGGCCGCATCTCTACACTCTCTTCTCAAAATATTTGTGGCGTGGAATCACCGGCCATGAACATTTTTATAATGTTTAATTCATGTCAGTTGTGGGATTTGGGATGGAGCTGAGGGGGTGGGGGGTTTAGAGTGGATGCTTTGGGAAATTTCTCTTCTGGGAACCATTGAGTGCTTGTTTAACTAAAGCGATGCATTTATGAAGCATCTTGATTGTTGCTGTTTGCGTTTTGGCAGCGAACCCATAAATCCCGACCGACAAAGAATGCAAGCTCTGTACTTATTGCAAACTATTAAATTAATTTTATGGCCCTGTTTATTAACACAACTGCACAGGCCAGGCTTCTACGGCAGCTGCGTATTCAGCTGATTCATCTTATAATGTGTGTGATATAATCTGTCAGATTGTGACTTGGGACCTTGTTTTATTGCTCTGACCTTTAGTTGTACGAGTTAGAGCATGAGGGAAGATCTGATTGCAGAATGATGGGAGTGATGTGCTGTCAGAGTAGCAGCACGGACATTGAAGCGTGGTGCTCGCAACACTGCGGGCCAGTAATTGGCCATGAAACGGGATCTGATAACAGTGTGGTGTTTGGAAAATATGTGGGGAATGTCCTCACCTTAAAATGAACAGACTGAACGTGGTGACATATGATTGGAATAGTCTCTGGAATGCAAAACAGCACTGTTTTCCCCCATTTTGCACTTTTTCTCAGTTTTGGCTCCCTCTTTGTTGGGTTATGGGAACAGGCTGCCTGTAGGGGTCTACAGGGTCTGTCTTACAATAGACCCGTTCAGAGCCACTCATGTAAATCATGTTGAATAAAGTCACAAATGAACTGAGAGAATTAAAATTCTTCCCTTGTCATAACTATCTACTGCCAATAGGATGACACAGTAATCCAAGGAGAAAGACTGTATTTTTACAGTGTTTTCCACCATTTAGAAACCCAAAGACATTGGTTGTTTCTCTATGGGAAAAAGATGATGAATGTGTGGTGCAAATGAAATGTGGTGTTTCAAGGCACATTAAACCATGTGAACATTTATAATGGGATACAATAAGGGCCAAAAATGTCAATTCTGGGATGTTTCTTTTGTCTATAGACACTGTTTGACCACTAATGTTTGAGATAAAGTCTTTGTCACTTAGATACATTAAGCAACTGTTGTTATATATAATGTCAAAAATATTGTCTTTTCTTCTTGAATTATGGTGGCAATCTTTTGGCAGTAGATGATTGCAGTGTTTATGACAAGTGTTAGAGAGATTAATTCTCCATGGTTATTTTAATACATTTTTTCAAATTTTTTTCGCCTGCTAATGTGCATATGAGTAGTATGATATTATTTGAGTAGTTTTATATCATGGTAACAGTATCTATAATGTCTACAGTTATTTTCCTGGAAAACAAAGTATATTATGCAGTCATGTAATGCTAGTAGAAATCTTTTGTAACAATATGCACTACCGTTCAAAGTTTAGGGTCAGTATTTTTTTTTTCTTGTTTTTTTTTTTTTTACATGAATTAATACATTCAGCTAGACTTTCAAAGAATCCTGAAAAAAGTATCACAGGTTCCAAAAATATATATAGATATATATTAAGCAGCACAATATATATACAATATATAATTCTTATGCTGTTATTATAACTGTTATTATAATGATTTCTGTAGGATCATGTGATGTGACACTGAAGACTGGAGTAATGGCTGATGAAAATTCAGCTTTGCATCACAGGAATAAATTATTCTAAAGTATATAAAAATAGAAAACTCTTATTTTAAATTGTAATAATATTTTACAATATTACTGTTTTTTTCTGTATTTTTTATTTTAAAAAATGCAGCCTTGATGAGCATAAGAAACTCATTTTAAAAACATTAAAAAACTTACTTATCCCAAACTTTTGAACAGCGGTGTATATATTTGGAAGCAACTATAAGATCATTCATAACAAATTAATAAGTCTAGCATTACCTCAGAAACAGCTGTTTAATATATGCATTTTTCTTTTTTTCTACTTGTTACTTTGCACTTCTTGTTAGAAAATGTTTATTTACTATTTATTCAGGTTTTTTAAGGTATATAATATTTTGATACTTAATTTCCATGATCTAAATATTCTTAAAAATGTAAAGTTTGTTGTCATTTGGAAGTGTGTAGGCCTTCTTGCATTATTATGCTTTTACATTATGATTATATGTTCAGTGGCATAAAATGGTCTTTAAAATGACAATAATATCGCTTATCGCAATTATTTCTGGGGCAATATATCGCACAACAAAAAGTTGTTATCGTGACAGGCCTAGGCATGTTGTGATGTTGCTTGCCACCTGTAAATAAGCTAAAGTTACAGAGTGTCTTCTCCAGATGTGAGTGGCATCTCACATCAAAACTACATCGCTCCCACAATAATCGATGGAGCTGTCTTCATTGGAGGCATCCGTCTGTAAAACAACATGCAGAGTAGATTACAGTTTTCTGTTTGGTGTCGGACTGCAGGTATAAAAAGTATAGCAGAATCTGCAGACACATTTCTGCTGTCACATGGTTTATAGTCTCATACAGCCCAGCCTTATTTGGGCATTCGGACACTCTAGATTGATATCCTTCTGCTTCTTATCTGGTTTAGTCTACATTCACAGTCTTGTTTTATCAAGTGCAAAACATTTGCCAAAGCTCTATTTGGATCCCTCAAATGCATCAAAACATGTAATTATATTGAGTTGAGCTGACAATTTAATTTGCAAGTTTGCATTATAGAGGTTCTCATTAAATGTGCAAAACAATTTTCTAGATTTGAAACTCCCATGACTGTACTGAAATCACTTTTGGTTATCCACAAAAAGATTTATGCGCATAATCATGCGTCATGCATTCTCTTTCTGTTTTTATTGCTCATTTGTTCTTACACTTTGGAAATACAAAGCATCCTCAAAGTCATTATGTAAATCAGAGCTGAAATAATGATTATTTTAGATGACTCTTGTGACGTGTTCAATTAACTTTTGTTAGCATGATTGACGTGCAGCAGAAACCTCAAGAGATGCAGCTCTCTAACCCTCCCCCCTTCAAATGTTCAGTTATTTCTCTGCTGCTTTGAATCTGATAGCCTGTAATTTTAAAGCACTTGATCCAGGAACCGCAGTTGTGTAACGCTGCAGCGTTTCTGAACGTTTTCAGAACCTCTGAGCTCCAAACGGACGGTGATGATCGGGAAATGCGGCGAAACGGGGGCATTCCTCGATTGTGAAGTCAGAGCCGTCTGAAACTTTAGCTTGTGTTTATTTAGGTCCCTGCAAATATGCAATAAGTGACTCAGATGTTTTGTTAGTACACTGTAAAAAAAAATTCCGTAAAATTTACGGTAAAAAACCGCACTGGTTTGTCACGATTTTTCAGGGGTTATGAAGGCTAATGGATGTTAGCTTTTGCTTCTCCTCTCTTTTGTCATGGAAAGAATTGGATGTGAACTTAAGGGATAACGCTTCAGTTGGGAATAAAGATAACAACTACCGTAAATATTGATTAATTGTCTGAATATGGCCAATTTTAGAATAAGGGAATGTTTACAGTTTTAGGGACATAATCGTTTTTATTATGCAAAAAAAATAACTGTAGCCCAGCCATATAAAGGTGTGATTTTAATGAACTAATTCACCCAGAAATTAAAAATCGTTTACTGATCTTCATGCTGTTTCAAACCTCTATGACTTACTTTCTTCTGTGTAATACACAAAAAAACTTTTGAAAATCAATGAACAAAGGTAATACAGGTTTTAGCATGAGGATAAGTTAAATGATGACCAATTTTTCCAATTTTCATATCATTCTTACATCCCTGGTATATGCCATCCTTCAAAAACCATGTGGCGTCAAGTTTTCAAAATGACCATAATAGTAACGTGTAGCCAATCCGAGTTTTTATGTTTTGCAGTGAGCTGATTCTCATCTGCAAAAACATGCACAGGAAATGTCTCGGCGAACCCATTTTCCCTGTCCTCTGCCTCAGCCGACCACTAAACAAACAAAACTAATCAAGAGATGTCCAACGCATTCCATCAGAAATCACTCGGTGAGAGGGAGATGAAAAATTTGGAGACATATTTAGGGTCGGCCATGATGCAGAAGTGAAAGAACGCATGAAAATTGACGTTGACTCTAGCATGAAGTCATGTCGTTGTAGCGGCTTAGTGGAGGCCCGTGTTGTGAGCA